TTAGATTAGTCAACCATGGCTGAGGCTAGTCCAAGAAAATTTTATGCATATTAGCAGTTCATGGTTGGTGTACAATTGTACTTGAGATTCAGTCTTACTTTGCACTTGACCTTTATGTAAAGTAGAATAATACTGAATAAAAATGTTTAGCATATTTGCATTGTCTGTTTTACAGAATATTTTTTTTTTCAATTTTATTATCACTTCTTTTTCTTTCTCTTTTCTCTACTTATATGCCAACCATTTCCTGGTATATTTGAAAATTCAAAACTTCTTTGGTTTGCATAGTTCACCTTTGGTCTCTAGAAGCTTAATTTGGTTGGTAATAATTTGGTTGGCTCTTTGGTGAAAATCACTGTACTTTCTATTTCCTTTTCTTTTTAAATTTACCATTTTGTTGTATAAAAATACCCTCTTACAAAAGCTTTGCTTTCATCCCAAACTGTTCTTAGTCTTGTACCTTTATAAAGGTTGTTCTTGAAAAAATTATTTTAACTTCTTTTTACAATCCTTCACTACCATTTCCTTTTGCAGCATCTCATTCGGTCTCCACTTAATAGAGCTATTTTTCCTGTTAAAAGTTAAAGTTAATGAATTGCTGTGTTTGGTAATTTTTATAAGTTAATAGCGAAAGCCTAAGACATCCAACTCATATCTATTCTAGAAAAGATGCATGCCTTCAGATTAAATAAATATATTCTTTGGGGCCACAAATTTTTACCTCTCCATAGATCAACAAACTCAAAATTATCCATTAAATTGATATTGAATTAATTATTCCAATTAAAAATAATGTGCAGGTGGTTTACTCAATTGTTCTTATAACTTTATGACCATTATTATATGTTGTAACTGTACAATAGTATAGTAACAATAGTAGTTTAAAATATATATAAAAATGCAATTCACCAGTTACTGATAAACTGCATACTTACATTTTAAATATATAACTATTTCATATAGAGAGAGCTAAAAACATGTGAACCTACAACATAATGCATGCTTATAGAATCACTTAAGAGACGGTATAATACTTTCATATTTTATTTACCTTAAAGTGAAGTAACAAATAATTTCAAAAGATTTTACCACATGTCAGGCATGCATTGACATTTCTTTTGTGGGTATCATGATTCATTGCCTGAGACTTTAATATTGATGAAAGAGAAGTCAGATCCAATAGCCCTTCTGAAAGACAATCTGTCTTGATGTTCTCATTTTTTAAAAACCATTCTAAGGTTTTTGTTGTTGTATTCAGGAAAGCTCTCGGTTCAGCCTGCTGATATTTTCCAATCTATAGGGAATATAAAGTTAAATAACCATAAGAAGCTGTAATATTCTTTCTGGGAGATTGAAAGGATGATGGGAGAGAGAGAGAAAGAGATGAAAGGATATCATATTTTGTTTTCTTGCTTATTTTTGTTTTTATCAGTATCTGGAAGCGTAAATTTCTGTTGTTCTAAGCACCCAGAATTTACAGTTAAGATCAATATAATAAATAGGCATGTTTAATACTAAATTTACTTTGTGTCAATTTAATCCAATTTACTATTTTACCATAGTAAGGATGTTGTAGATTTCTTAAACATATCTTTATTTACTCCTTTTTACCTTTGTGTATTGTTTTATTATATTAATATAAAACAAATGTAGCACATTATTTGAGTACAATTATCTTTATACAGTGTTGACTGGATATTATTAATACTGTGATGTTTAGACTAAATTGAACTTGTAAAGATAATACATGGACTATGTTATTACCTTGAAGAAAATAAGTTTGCATTTTATTATGGTCCCCTTTTGTAGTTCTGTCCAAAAACGTCTGTAAATACTGACCTCTTGCTGGGGCGTATAGTTGGTAGCTGAATAGGACAGTCGTGTTGTCTTCTATTTCTGGTGCTTCACAAACATATATTTTGTCAGAAAGTGGTGGAATTGTGCATATTGAATCATAATACTCAGATTCTGAGTCAGACTTGTTGCCAGGTTTTTTTATTTATTTAACAAGACATTTTACTCTTAACCATCATTTCAACCACATGATTGCAAGTGACTCAGTGTTGGTTTGAGCTAATGAGTTCATATTCTGTGGGTGACTCAAGCAGTTCAATGATTTTGTTCATCTATACGAGAGGTGGGGAACTATGGCTCTTTTATGACTTGTGAACTTCAACTCCCAGAATTCCTGAGTCACCATGGCTGGCTCAGGAATTCTGGAAGTTGAAGTCCACAAGTCATAAACGGGCCATAGTTTCCCACCCCTGTTATAGTGAATTCTGTACCATATGTCTTGGGTTATGAAATTATCTCTTACTTAAATGCGATTTTTAAAAAAATGGTTTAGAAATAGCATTTTTTAAAAATCATCTGGCAAAGAAAGCTTTGTATTGTTTCTCAGTTCGAACATATGAGGTTATTTTGTGTCTTGAACTTTCAGGGACGGCTTTGCTTCAGAAATAATAGCTATGAGCAGCAGATTCCTTGAGCTGGAAATGTTTGGAACATTAAGCAGGACCATATCTTAGTTAAGCTTGGGGAATAAATGTGTCTCTTGCATTTTCCCATTTATGAAGGAATTTTTACAGGGTTATGAGCACATCAAGTTCACTTTTCCTCTATATGGAAATAACTGTCAGAAGTTAGTGATAATAATCCAAAACAACTGGCTATAGTTACCATTATGGAGTCTTCAGTGGCCTTTAAGGGAGAAAAAGAGAGAATAATACTGTAATAGGATTTTCCATAACATTATTTATATTTTTACCTCAACTAAGGTTAACCTATTTTAAATAAGTTGCATTTCATGCTATGCGGCTGGAATTGCTAAGAATTCTTTTGCAACTTTGTACTCTTACAACTTCTGTTTCAGGCTAATTGTTAATATTGAAGTCTGCTTGATATCTCTGTCTGTCTGTCTGTCTGTTCTGTCTTCCACTAAGAAGGTTCTTTTTTGTAGCATTAAAATAGCAGAGTCATTACTGCAGCCTGTTGCGTTCTATTTTTTTTTATTTCTACAACTTTTCCATTTTGGAAAAAAAAATACCTATTTTTCTTAGTTTTAGAATTAATGCGACTTACTGTATCATTGGTTACTCTAGAGCAGCGGTGTCAAACTCAATTTCATTGAGGGCCGCATCAGGGCTGTGATTGACCTTAGGAGGGCTGGCGGGGGCATGGCTGACTGGGTAGGTGTGGTCAATTAGGTGGGCATGGCCAGACTGACGCCACTCCTCAAACTCTCTGGCATGTTTTCTCTTCATATTGGGTAGACCAGGCTGAAGTTATGCTGGCCTGCCCTTTCTTATTCGTACTGGGAGACTGGGCCAAAGCTACACTGGCCCAATCTTTCTTTGCACTGGGTAGACTGGGCCGATCTTTGCTCCTCACATTGGGTAGACCAGAACGGCCCCGCAATCCAGATCCAACCACATCGCAGCGTGGATGCGGCACGTGGACCTTGAGTTTGACACCTCTGCTCTAGAGTAAATAAATTGTTGCCAATTGGTATTTCAAAACTATAACTAAACAAGTGAAAGTACTTAGCAACATGGTTAATATTGTTTTTGTGTTCCTTAAACTGAATCTGTTTGTGATGAGAGAAAAAAAATGCAGTGAGACTGATATGCTTCTTTGCCAGTAAATTACTAGAATGATAAATTGTTTTGCAAAGAACAATGCTAAAGGCCATATTAAGAAATGCATGAACCTCGTTGACAGGGAATAGTTTGATGGCTAAAACAAGCAAGATAATATTTATCTTACACTTTTCTGCTATGTGATTTTTTGAACCTTTAGAAAAAGAACTAGAGTATTCAGAAAGTAAAGTCAGTTGGATTCCTGCCAGCTTTCACAATCCCTAAATCAATATGTTAGAGGCAATGTTTTGGAAATAAGTAATAATAAAAGTAATCTTTGTATCCAAGTATCACTGTCTGTTAATTTTGAATTAAATATTATCTCATCGTGAAACAAGATTGTTATGGCAATTGGCTGTGAAACCTTAAAATACCTGTTTCTCGGCCTTTCTGCATTTCATGCTTCTCTGCATGAGGGTATACATCGTGTGCATGCTTGGTTTGCGAGCAGGAACACATAGAATGAAAAATAGAGCGTAGGATATTTATCTTTCCCACCATGATAAGTCAAGCCTGAGTTAAAACTATACAAGAGAATGTATATTCTTTGCATTCCCATGTGTACTCAAGAGTGCTTGACTAAAGGTAAAATACCTTTTACTTATTTGTTTGATATTGTTTAGACTGTTCTTCAACTATTTCCTTGAGCCCCATTTTCCTTCCTGTTCATTAAACAATCATCCCCTTCCCCCCGTAAAATTCTAGTTAGACATTCATTTATATCCTGGCATCATGATGTGGCAGTGCAGTATACCATGAGGGTACTCAGGAAGAATATGTGATTGTTTTAGATGTGTATGCAGTGACAAGCTTACTGGCTAAAGGTGCAAGCTTATTGCACGGGGATGCTTGGATAGAAATATAGAGGATGCCGGTGAGGAAGAATCTAGTCAATGATCAGTGATATCTTCTGAGGAAGTAAGAGAGCTCCATGGTGAAGGTTGGCAGAAATGGAACAACAAGACTTGTAATCAAGGCAGTAATATATCGGAAAGGAAACAGTGAGGCAAGAAGTCAACATTACAGGCAAGTTCAGGGGAAATAATTGTGATGAATGGAGTCCTGAACTATAGATCTAATAAAACAATTTATGCATAACAGCAGGTACTGTGATCCTGGTCAGAATATTTTTTTTTGAAAATAACAACCAAGTAATTAAAATAGATAACTTAAGTATAATGTATGAAATTTCATTTCTTCTGATTATTACATTATTATTAGCTTGAACTCAGATGTACCTTTGGTTGCTGTGGTGAGAATCTGCCCAAAGTATAATGCATTTGAATTCAGAAACACTTAGTGATTTAAAGGAATAAGCTGCACAATTTCTTTTTCCTTTTATGTTTTTTTCCCCCTCTTAAGTGACTAGACCTGTGGAAAAGAAACTTTGCCTTACTCCTGTTCCTCCTGCTTCTCAACTGTGTAGCATTCCGTGTCCTCCTGATTGTGTGGTTTCTTCCTGGTCAGCATGGGGCCCTTGCATTCATGAAGACTGCCAAGAAATTCAAGGAAGAAAAGGTGAATTTGAATATAAGTTTCAACATAATGTAGGGTATTTCTTCAACCTGATGTTTTGAAGATGTACTGGATAATATTTCCTTTCAGTTTCCCCTGATACGTTTGACTTTTTATTCCCTTTATAAAGTGTGCTTCTCTACTGTGTATTCCAGTTTTTAGCAAACCATAGTTCTTTTGCTTGTAATCCATGATTAAACATAGTCCTACTTGGGTATTTAACTTTCTATTTTTTATTTTTATGTATTTTTTGTTTCAAGGGAGAGAAGGAGAGAGGAAAAGAGAGAGCGGTTAGATCAGATCTCTATCTCTGTCTCCCTCTCACCAACGTCAGCAAGCCACTGTCAGTCAAAATTCATATTAGTGGTCCCCGGGATTTAAAATTATGAGTTTGGTGGTCCCTGAGGTCCAAAAGGTTGGCGAACCCTGCACTAGAGCAAAGGGACCACAAAGGCATGAAATGAGTCCAGGAAGCATATGAGACTGAGTTTCTGATTCAAACTAATGTACTGAGAGAATATTTGTACCTCAGAATTGAACTGAGGAGCCCTTGGTGCTCTCTGAGCTTGGTGGTTTTCATGCAGACATTTCATTACCCAGCTCAGTAACATCATCAGTGCTAGATGAGAATTTACCTAGAGGTTACCTAGTTTGGTAACAAAGCTAATGTGCTTTATGCCAAATTCATGATTATTGAAGAATTCATGCAAATAAGCTCTTTTCCACCTATGTAACAAATGTGGATTTTTTTTTTAAATGGATATCTTTAAACATCAGAAGGGAATGATTCTGCCTGCACTCTGATTCCTCCAACAGTATATGCTTGCATAAAGTAGACCTAGAAACCAGTAAGTTATAAGTGGGAGTAAGATTGTTCCAGTACACATTTCTCCAGGAGTTGAATATTATATGAAAAGAGCTCTATTATGTATAGCTTGTTGTTGAGCAAGTTAAATAGTCTTTTTCATAACAATGCAAATATGTAGACATAATGGAAAAGCAGTCAAGTCCTCCAGCGAGTCTATCCTTTTTCCCACGTTCCCTCAGTACAAATGTGACCCATGCTAATGTATAATTTCCTACATCAGAAATAGCAAGGGAGAATGGGAAAGTGGGAAAAATATGTAATCAGTCTTCTTTTCTAAAGCGCACAAGCATGATTTGATCTTCTTTAGTACGTGCAATGTAACCTGAGAGATTTTTAATAGCACCTTCTTGTCATTTCATTGTAAGTATGCAAGGCAGCTTAAAAGTTAGCAGAGCTGTTTAGCCAAAGACAATGAGCTAGAACTGTGAGAAAATGTGTTTCTTACCTCTATTGTATTTGTTCATCTTCAAGATGGATTGACGGTTGGAAATTATTCAGTATTGTTTCTTCCTTCTGATTTTAGCTATTTGCCTCCCCACCCTTCTCTTAGGTTTCAGAATGAGGCACAGACACATTGTTGTGGATTCCATTGGTAATTCTGAGAACTGTCCACATTTGATAGAGGCTATTCCATGTGACAATCCAATGTGTTATGACTGGAGCATTTCAGAAGGAAACTGTTTCCCTTATAATGGAATATGTGGACAAGGAAACCGTGTGCTGTATGCCCAGTGCAAAAACAACAATGGTATGTAGCTCAAAGATATTTCATTTAAATATATACTACACTGTGGGGTCTTTGATGCTCTCTGAGCTTGGTTGTTTCCTTGTGGATGTTTCATTACCAAACTAGGTAACATCATCAGTGCTAACATCATCAATGCTGCATTAATATTCAAGATGCTTTATACTGTCTGTTTTCCAGAAAGAATGCATGATGTACATCTTAAGTTCAGATATGGATTTTACTAAAGTTTGTGGCTTTATTTTGCACCACACTTCGTCTTGTGCAAGTGTGTTGCTTAACAATTTAATCAGTTCTTTCTAGCAAATCATTCTACCTTCTTTGTGGACTTCCACAAAACCTTAATTGCCTCAGTATAAGAAAAAGAGAGATTCCCGCAGTGAAGATTTCAGGGCTGAGGCCTAGTTTTCAGGGGTTTGCGACAGGGATTTAGCTCCACATGTGTAAATGATAGTTATATTGGCCTCAGGCAGGAGGTGTTGGGGGAGATTAGATGCTACTGGGCTACAAGTAGAATTTGTGCAGTGGAAAAAAACCATGCTGGAGATAAAATCCTTGATTGTAACTGTGTAAACAAAGCCACATAAGGTAGCACAATGCCAAGGAAAGAAAGTTGTTCTTATTGAGTGCATTGCAATACAGTGCCAAAGTGCCTGGGCTTCATGAGATTTGGAAAGAAAACTGAATATTATCAATTTGTGGCTCCAGCTTATTGTTTTTTTGGCCAGCCTTATGATTTAAATCAGGGGTGTCCAACTTTGGCAACTTTAAGACTTGTGGACTTCAACTCCCAGAATACCTCACCCAGCAAAGGAATTCTGGGAGTTGAAGTCCACAAGTCTTAAAGTTGCCAAGGTTGGACACCCCTGATTTAAATCATAAAAGCCTAAATTCTGCTAGATTAGTCTGTATGCTTCCCTAGTCCACTTTATTGTATCTCTCTTTAGCAAATGGGATGGCATTGGGGAAGATGTTGAACTTAGACAGGAGAATATGAGCTCTCTTCCACCATCCCTTCCCCTGTGTATGATTCAGAAGATAGGAAAGAACTATTGGTATTAATAGCCATTGATAGCCTGATCCTCCATAAACTTTGGTTGGATGCTAAATTGGCTGTGCTTACTTACCACAGCTGCTGGCAGTGAATTCCACAGTTTAAATATGAGCTGCATAAAAAAAATCATTTCATTCTGTTGGTTCTGAATTTGCATGCATTTAATTTCAGGAAACGGCCTCAAATATTTTTCTGGAAGGGGGAGGGGGAGGGTGGGAGAGAGAGAGAGAGAGAGACTTCTTTTTCTCCAAAATTTGCCTAAAGCAGGGCTTTCCAAACTGTGAGTGGTATTTTCCTTGAGGAGGTGCAAATAGGGGTGGTGTGAAGAACTTTTTAGTTTTACAAAATTTCAATAAGTCCATCTTTCTCACAGTTTCATTTTATAGTTTTCATTGTTCATTTGTGTTCATTTTGGTGTTTGGATTGTTAGGAAGATTACACTATAGGGTGGGGTAAATGCAGCGGTGCGATTCAACTGGTGTAACAACCGGTTCACTGAGTGCGCGCTGCGCGTGCGTCATACACACAATTCATGTGCGTGCCCTACGTTTAAAAAAGCCCATTTTCAACTCTAGTACTTACCTTCTACTGCAGCCCCGGTGACTGAAACAGCTGAAGTGCGGCAAACTGCTCTGCCGCATGAATCAGCTGCGCTAAAAACCCAGGAAATAAAGCACAGCAAAGGGCAGGGGCGGGTGGATGGGACCAAACACTTGCCGGAACTACCGGTTCGCCTACCCCCTGGGTAAATGCCAAAAAATGAAAAGCCCTCTAAAGCAAGTCATCATCTTTTGTGTTGCCCAAGTACTTCACCACTAGCATGGTTTCAGATCTAGCAGGTTTTCATGAGACATGTTCCACCTCTTACTAAAGCATCTAGTAGAAATGAAGTTGACTTTGTCTCACTGACACCATTAGACCTATAGCTCTGAGAGTGACAATCCTTTTTTAAATAATAATTTTACAATTAAAAGTATAAAAATTAATACAAACTAAAAAAAAAAAAGTAAAAAAGAATAAATAAAAAGTGCAGAAAAAAATAGTATACAGATAAAAAAATAAATAAATTACTTCTTCCTCTATCACAGCAAAGATAAATAATTTTAGTAATTTATCACCTTTTCTTTAAATACAACAAATTATCTCTTCTTCCCATATCTCACCTCTTATTTAATAAACAAATCCTTAAAGCCTGGTTGTTCAATTTTGGTCAGCAAAAACCCTGTTAAGGATTACCAGAGATAACTACATATCTATTTAACTGTGATAAATAGCTTGAAATAGATAAATAAAAGAACCTTCTATTCCTTTTACTTTAATAATCTTAATCTTCCTTTAAGGAATGTCCTAGAATTTGATTTCTTTTCATTGTTATTTCTGTTTCTCTTATTATAAAATCTTTGAAAACTTTAACAGGTGACTTTTGTAAATCCAATGTAGAATAATTTTCCAAATCACTCTTTTGATTTGTTATTTGTATATCCCTTTTAATTAATAAGGCATTGTTCTTGTGGACTGTCATTTTAAAATCCACTTTCAAATCAGTCTCAGTCTTGTCTGGTAGAACTTGCTGTTCTTCCATAATAACTTTTAAACGCAATCTACCTATAATGACACACATTCTTAAAATTATTGAATCCATAGTTCACACATTTTCTTCAATATGTCTAAAGTTAAACTATTTTGTATTAGTCAATCAAATTTTAGTGTTCTTCCCATTCAATTGTAATCTTTAGTCCTTTCTAATTCTCAGTGAACTTTGTGTCCGTGAATGTTATGTTACAGTTGTGATCTTGATTGAAATCCCTTGTTTCCCAGTTGTTCATCTCACAAGTTGATCACACACACACAAACTCCCCCCCAATTCCTGCAGTCTACTCATAAGGAACAGCTGTCAAAAGTACACATGACAACTTCACAATCACCCCCTTTTTTTGTGGAGACTTCATCTGCCAGAATTTGCTGTCTGGCTACCAGTCTCCGCTGCATTGTCACCCTCCTATGGGATGCCCGGTTTGCATGTCTCCTCATTAGAAGTCTGGGAGTGACAATCCTCTGGGTGTAAACAGAATTATCTCTCTGCTTTGTCAGTTATGTTTATAATAGAGCATCAAAAGAAAATTATTTTGATGACAGTGGTGTGATTTCTTTCCAAGAATGTATAACCTTCCTCAAAAAGGTACATCAGCATTTGCATTCCTTTCTAACTGTCGCCAATACACGCAGACACGAGATTTACTTCAAGGTTTTACAACTTATTGCTGAATAGCTTGTTGCATAATCTGAACTGGGAAAGTGGTTTTAGTGCTGTCTCCAAACCACATTGTATAATATGAATGGAATATGAATGGAATGGAATGGAATGGAATAGAATAGAATAGCTTATTTGACCAAGTGTGATTAGTCACACAAATAATTTGTCTCTAGTGCAGAAGCTCTCAGTGTGCATGCAAAGCAACAGAGTAATAATAACCATAATACCAATAAGAGGAGATAGTAAAGGAGATAAGGGTAATAATAATACTTCTGCCATACGGGTAAATGTACTTTGATATAAATAATATCGTGAAAATTAGGCGTTCAGTAGAGTGATGGCACGAGGGAAAAAACTATCCTTGTTTCTAGTTGTTTTGGCATGCCATGCCCTATAGCAGTGTCCTGAGGGGAGGAAGCAGTTTGTGTTGTAACTTTTGGTTTTCCATTTTAGAAGGATAGCTGACATCATAATTTTCTCCTTTGAATGACATAGGAAACAAGGTTTTACATAATCTTTTGATCTGAGAGGAAGTGGGAATATGTGGACATGAGCTGCATCACTAATTTTTTTTATCCACTAAAATCTACACTACTAATTTTCCAGTGCTGCCTCTAAAACCAAGGATAGTAGAATTCTTTTAAATGAACAGAATTTCCCCTTTTTGCCTTTGGTAAGTAAGCATCATGCTTACATAAATACTTACATTCTCTCTCTCCCTTTCCCTCTCCCTCCCTCCCTCTCTGTTTCTTCTTGCAAACTTATTACATTTTTAAAAAAATATAAGGAATGTGATTCAAGGTCCCAGATTCTGATGATATGTAAATGAAAACATCGTGCTGAGTAACATGATATTTACATTGCAGCATTTCAGACCCAGAGGATGTTCAATTTCCAGCCCATTAATGAGGCACATTTTCATGTGAAGTTTACTAACATGTTGCAGCGGCTGTTTTCCTTGGTACACTCTGAAGCTATCCTACAACTTAATTATTTTTGATAGAGCGACTATTGTCAGATCACAAGATTGTTTTCTGAAGGGCCTATTCGCCTGCTTTTAATCAAATGAATGCTACAATATAACTAATCTTATCCTAGCTAAATCAGAAACGTGCAATGTCTTGGTGTAAACATGGCGTTGGAAATATTTCCAAGAAGAAACAAGTGAGACTGATTATCAAACTGGCAAAATTACTATGTGAACTGTGAATCATTCTCTTCTTATTCCACTTTTCTCTGTTTTCAACAGTGCTTGTTAATCAGAGCTGCATTAACTTTACCGTGCCAGACACTGAAATCAGAATATATAAGGAGTTTATTCTGCTGTGTTAATATGATTGCTGTGGACTTCTCCATGAGTTCAAGCAAAGCTTCGTTGGTGCAAAAAATCTAAAAACTGGATGTTGCCATTTATAATATAGGCAGAGGTTTGATTTCTGTGTGGTGATTGGATGTTCCTTGGATGATAAAAGAAAAGTTGCACTGATGAAATTTTGCTTGAATGTATCAAGAAGCACATGCAGCATTCATGATCTACCCTTCGGTGCAGACTGTCCTAAGCCTGGAGAATGTCAAAGAAAGTATGCCCGGAAAAGTAACTAAGAATAAAAATAATAAAAAAATCAGGGCAGTCTTAAAATAAAGTTACAAGTCTATATTCAAAATAACGAAAAAATAAAAATAAAACGTTATTCT